GTGCTGTTCTAAAGTGCATTTAAAACCCAGGAGGGCATGGTGCTTCCTGCCAGAGAGCAGCACAGTTCCTCCCGAAAAAGCTGTAGCCTTAGATAGGTTCATGCTAAAAGACAAAGCTGTTCCATCTATAAAGGGAAATGTTAAAGAGTTGGAACTGCAAGCTGCAAGTAACATTTCACTGAAATCTTTGTACTTCATTAGACAAAATGGTTTTCTGTGAAGGGAATGCTTGTATTGTGTTCTTTATAATTCTTTGAAGTATTTAAATTAGTTTATGTTTTTTACAAGACTATTTTAGAAGTCTGAAATTGATTAATGGTTGCAAGTAACCTCCGGTGGATGAGATCTTCCTTGACTTCCTTAAGGCTTAACATGCTTTGGAGCTGAAAAGAAAAGGAACCAGAGGATAGATTCCAGCTTCAGGAACATCGCACTCCTCAGCCACTCCTCAGAACATCACATGCTGGAAAGTCTATGCCAGCGTACTGGAGATAAGAGTTCTTCCAATAGTCAAACTTTGGATCCAGGAAAAACAATGCGATTTTCATTCTGGTCCTGGAATGCTGGACCAGCTCATTATCCCTTTAAGAATATTCAAGGATTCGTGATAGCTTGCCAGCTAGTCTACATGTGATTTATGGACCTGGAGTTTGTTCCTTTGGGTGTGGTTGTGATTCTTTGGGTTCACTGAGCAATAACCTCCAGTTTGCACTGGGAAATATGCAACTCCCCAGTGGCTGGGATGAGAATTAACATCTTCGAGTCCTGTTTTTCAGCTGGAAAAAAGTGGAGTGCTCACTTTGGGTTGTGAACAATTTGCTGCTACAGGTGTTGGAGGTTAAGCATAGCACCTGCAGTCATGGGGATGCTGTACAAGTCTGCTGTGATGAAGAGACAGCTAAGTGTGAAAGCAAAGCTGTCAGTTTACCAGTAAGTAGTGGTGCAACAATATCTCATGGTTCGGATCGGATCACGGTTTTAAGTCACGGATTGGATCAATTTTTGGATCAGCAAAAAAAGAAAAAAATTTAACATTTACCTATTAACTTATTTAAGTATTTTTTGCCTATTAAAGACATTCAACTCAAGACTCATTCCACGCAATTATATAAAAACAAATTAAGGGCAATATAGGGCAGTACAGGGCTTTGTATCTACCACTCCGCTGTGATATAATGAGCTGTCATGGTCACGTAGCTTTCCGTTGACCTGGAGGTCCACCCATTTGTAGTTGGGCAACAGAAGATGCCTGGGACAGTTCAGCCACAACTTTAAACTTTTCCTGCTCATACATGCTGGATGTGCAACGGGATATCATAGCGTGGCTCAAGCACATTCATCATAGTTTAAACCCCTTGTTTTGCACAACGGAATACGGCCTCCCGTCTGCAGCTAAACACCCCAGTAGCTTTTGTAATAGCTTTAGCCCGGTCGGACTGGGCAGCAAAGGGCTGTTTAAATGCCGCAAACTCCTCTGCTCCTCCACTTGGACCACCAGCGCCGGCCATAACTATCACTTGACAGACTGACCACGCGCACCATACACAGACTTTTTTTTTTCTTCTTTTTCGAATCTTCGGATCACGTGCGTGCCAAACCGTGGAGTAGGATCGGTTCAGATTACGGATCAACTGTGATCCGTTGCACCACTACCAGTAAGTCTACACTCTGACCCTCATCAAAGCCAGTTTAGCTGGTTCTGCATTTTACTGGGATGCCCCCTGAAAGGCAAAGTTTTCCAAGTACATTCTACCAAGAGGAGGCCACAGGACAACCCAGAGCACACTGGAGAGTCTACATCTCCGGCTGACTTGCAAACACCTTGGAGGTCTAGGTGTCTCTGCTGACCCATACCCAGATAAGTGATGGATGGATGGATGGATGGATGGATGGATGGATGGATGGATAAACGTGACTAATAGTGATGTGAAATTTACTTCATTGGTGAAGTTTCAAGTGGAAAGAAGTGGAGTCCCAGGATAAATGTATATAGGTGGAAGAAAGCATAAGAGGCTCCCTTCAAAAAGGAGTCAAGACAGTACAATATAAACGCATGTATGAGTGGAGATAAATGCTTTAAACTACTTCCACACAATTTCAAGATGGTTTCTTACTTCAGTTTATGAGATTTACTTCTACTGTTAAGTCATTATGGTGGCAGGCTTCAGTATCATGACTCAAGCCTTACTTTACAGCTTGTGAAAATATATATGTTTTTCCTGTTCTGGGATCATCACTTGCTCATATCCAAATACTGTGGAAATTGTAAATCATCTGATACTTATATATTGCTTTTCTACTCAATTTGAGCACTCAAACTGACTTCCATCACAAGTCTTTTTCATCCAATCGCACACATTCATACAGCACTTCTATTTTCTATTCAAACAGTATCAATATGTGGCAAAAAAAGGAAAAAAAGAAGGATGCATACCAGTATACCAGTCCTTCACATGAACGGAGGACTCAGGGATCAATCCAAGCACCTGAGCTATAGTGTTTAGGTTTCACTTAGGTTTACGTCTCTGATATTTATGTGACCATTTTCATATACTGTTTTTATTTGCTCCTTCAACAGACCAATTTTCTTCTTGGAAATCAATAATGTTTTTCATCCACTAGCTGTGTGTGGAAGCCTGTATCTAATTTCAAGCCTTGGTGTTGGCACGTGAGGCTGCAAAGGGACCACTACTGTCTGCATACACGCTCTACCTCCAGGCTATAGACACACCCTACACTCCATCCAGTGCTCTGCAAGCTGTCGCTATAATCCACTTAGCTCTCCTTTCCATGCTACGACCTGGTCATCCTTCCAGCCCGACCCCCCTTCTCTGCCTCCTTGAGCTTAATAGTGGAGTGACCTCCCTACTCCAGCCAGAACATCCGACTTTTACAAGTTTCTTCTATTAAAGAAATACCTCATATGCCCTCTCTTTCCACTCGATAAATTCTCAAGGCTTTTCTATTTTTGTGGACTAACGTCCCCTTTTTCCACAAGATTCTGCCTTACTTTATAGTTTTTAATTGTTTAACTCTTTGATTTCTTTCCAATGATTTTAGACCAAAATAACACTCATCTATAATTGACTGAGACAGGACTCTTCCAGACACTAAACCAAGGCACAATGTACATTTCAATTCCTTTAATTTTAAATGTGTTTATA